GTGTTTAACTATCAACCCCCATCAGCATTCCTTAACTTCTGAACAATGTGAAGTTCTGACTACTGCTTCCTAGTAATAACTTTACCTTCTCATTGCTGTGTCTTTACCTGATTTTCACTTTTTCCAGAAAAATGTCCTGCATCTAACACTCCAAATTTCACAGCAATTTCTACCATAGATGAACCACCTCTGGAAAGTCCACTCCCATCTCTCCATCTGGAATTAAATGGTCTCCTGAGTGTGCTCTTGTGGCACATCTTAATAAGATGAGCTGTCATTTGTTACAAATATTTGTATTTAATGTCTTTTCTTACATACTTGATTGTAATATTTTTGAAGGTGTTTCTTGTGTGATTTCTCCTAGTATTTTCTCACAGGTGGGAGTTAAATGACTGGTTTCACTTTTAATTCTTTTAGCAGAAAAATATTGAAGAAGCATCAGATCATGTGTACCTCAAGAGTTGCATTTGCATTCTCTGCGAGCTCCACCCTCCACAGAAATGGGAGGATGGCAACCTGGGCTAGGCTATGGAAAGCCTCTGTCCCAACTCTGTTCCAAATGATCTTGGTTGCTGTTCTGATGTCTCCTGTTGCTGGTGAGTAATGGGGAGGCAGGCCAGCTGTCACTACCTATCCTACTTTAAGGGAGAGCAAAGAGATAACCACCTTTCACATTGTAAGATATCTTTGGTAATTTAGAATTTAGGAAAATTTGCTATAATCCCATTAAAAAGGCTATTTCATAGATACTCTTTGTACACCCTTGTAGAATTTTCCCTCCAGGAACCTACAAACAATCTAACCAAAGCAGTCATAGCTTGGAACATATACATAATATCTGCCAGCCTGACCAGGAAGAACTCTCACTGTTTCTGTAACTATTTAGAATAAAGGGTGAAGAGTGACAATTCTGCTGGGTCATGAAGAAGGGAGCTTAGTACTTTATTTAATTCTTGCTTGTGAAATACAATTAAGATTTTATTTTCTAAGAGTTTAATGTGGTTCCCATATTGTGATGATTTGAAAAGCATTTTTGAGTAAGCAACCCAATCAAAACACAAATGCCTGAAGAACATAAATGAAATGGCCTCTTTTCATCCCCAACTCCTGAGGCAACTGATCCTACATGATGTTATTTTTGGACTGGAGGTGTGGCTCAAGCAGTAGAGTGCCTGTTTTGCAAGCATGAAGTCCTGAGTTCAAATCCCAGTCCCACCAAAAAAAAAAGAACCACATAATGTTATTATTAATAAAATGTAAGCTCTTACTAAAACAAGAGCAGTGTTACATGGCACGGCATAGATCTGTATTCTGAGTACTCAAATATGGGCAATCTGAGAGGAACTGCCCACAGATGAGAGAATTGTCTACTCATTCATTTTTTGACAAAACATCACTTATTCAGAGAAGGAGGGACTTGCCTTTCGTGATAATTATTATCATATTCAGAGAGTTTGCATTACTGATCACTCACTGTGGTCACTGTGTTATCTGGTGAAAGATAACAGCATGATTCCTACTCTGAAAACCTTGCTACTCAGACATTGAGACGCTGTGTCCAATATATAACTTTTGGTGCTCCTTATCATTTTTGATGTTCAGGTGATTGTGGTCCTCCACCCACTTTACTGTTTGCTTCTCCAATCAACATCTTGTATGAGACAACCTTCAAACCTGGAACTATTCTGAAATACACTTGCCATCATGGCTACAGGAAGGTCAATTCAAGTCACCTTACTTGTGATATTAATGATGAATGGACCTACAATGTGTTTTGTACCAGTAAGTATCAGCATTTATTCTTACCTGTACTTTTTTCCAGAAGGTTTTCAAATTCCTTAATTCATATGACATCTTTGAGCAAAATTTAAAAAGTTAATATCACCTGTGCTACTTAGAAGAAGTCAGTTGAGAATACACCATAAGACATTTTTTCTAATACTAAGTATATAGGATCTATTTTCCTTTGTTTCTCTGTGTACACTTTTAGGAACATATATTTATTTGTACAAATGATCAATATATATGTCACATTCTTTATTTTCATAGTGGTTTCATTAAACAAATGAAATTAAGCACAGGTTTTTTTCTCTCCTTAAAATTTATCAGAAGAATGGATTATATGTTTACTTTTCTTTTTCCTCATAATAAAATTCAAAAGTAAGCATTAAGCAATGTGTGGTGGCACAGCTGCAGGACTGCTTACACATTTACTGGATCCCAGCACTTAGGAGGCTGAGGCAGGAGAATTATGAGTTCAAGGCCAGCCTGGGTTACATAGTAACAAAACAAAACAAAAATAAGCATTGAAAAATACCTTTGAATCTATCTGGAAAAAAAAGTTAAGGTTGATTAAGCAGACTTTTTCCCCTAATGATATATCTTATGAGTATTTGGAATCACTAATCATTTGTTTTCCTCCTAGAGAAACAATGCAAACATCCAGGAGAGTTAACAAATGGGAAAATAGAAATACTGACTGATCTTATTGTTGGTTCGGCTGTAGAATTCACCTGTGCAAAGGGGTAAATATAAAGCAAGCCAGAAGCAATAATTTTCTTTCAAGGAATTTTTATAAGTAGTTGGTACATTCATGTGTTTAAGAGTACATATTGTATGTTATTGTGCACATCAAGAATTCTCACTTCCAATCAGTCTCCTTCATCACATTCTTCTTTGCCTTCTGATAGGAAATGACTTAGCTTAATTTCTTGTATGTACTATTAACATTTACTTATGTAAATTAAATTATCAGAGTAATTATATTTTACTTATGTAAATACAACTGAATACCAATATTATACCTCCCTTTTTGTACAGAATATATCTAACTGCATACGTTTTGAATTTTGCTTTTACTTTTTTTCTTTTCACAGTATTGCTCTGGAGTGAGTGTTGTCTGTGTTCTCTCACATTCTTATCTTAAATCCCCACACATGTGAGAGACAGCAAGAGAGCGAGTAAGAGAGAGATTATGGATATTATGTTAAGTTAGTCTTCCATTGTTATGACAAAATACCTGAGATCAACAATTTAAGTGTAGGAAAGAATTATTTTGGCTCATGATTTGAGAGGTTTCAGTTCACGATGGCTTGACGTCATCACCCCGAGCTTCTAGTGAGGCAGAACATCATGGCGCGGGGTGAATGTGGTGGAGCAAAGCTACTCAGATCATGGTGGTGAGAAAACAGAAAGAGCATGAGGAAGGGTCTGGGTTCCAAGCATCCTCTTCAAGGGCATTCCCTCAATGATCTACTTTCTCCAACTAGTTCCCAGCCCGTACATTTTCCACCACTTTCCAATAGAGCCACCATCTGGGGACTTGGGGGACACTCCAGTCCCAAACTGTAACAGTAATAGTTTTCAATAAATGAACCATAATTTATCATAATTTATTTAATGATCTCTACGGACTGACCTTTGTGTGATTCCAGTCTTGTGTTACAACATACAATTCTGTATGTGCTCTGGCATGTATATTGCTCTAGGATAAATTTCCAGAAATACAATTGTTGGACCAGAGAAAAGACACATTGAAACTTTGATAAACTGTCTTCATAGACTATTTAAATTTTTATAATGTAAACAATGTCTATTTTAAAGGCAAGCTCCCTTCTAAATCCACCTCTATGACTGAACATTTTGTCAAATTTGAATTTTTGCCTATGAAGAAAAGAAACTAAACCCTCTATTTTTTAACTTTTTCTTTTGAGATAAGTGTACATTCACATGCAATCAGAGAAATAATGCAGAGAGATTTCATACACCATTTCCACCACTTCCTCCCAACAGTAGCATCTCATATAATTATAGTTCAGTATCACAACCAGAAAACAGACATTGATACAATCTAGTTCACCAGTTTTATATCCACTCATTTGTGAATGTGTATGCAAGAGTAGGGAAGACAGAAAGAAGTAAGTCTGAATAAAAAAAAAGATGAGGCTGGGCGTGGTGGTGCATGCCTATAATCCTAGCTACTCAGAAGGCAGAGATGAAGAGGATTGCAGTTCAATGCAGACAGTTTGCCTGACATCCATCTCAACCAATAAAATAATGCTGGCACATGCCTGTCATCTTAGCTATGCAGAAAGCATAAATAGAAAGCCTGTAGTCCGGGCCAGCCAGAGCATAAATGCAATACCCTATCTTAAAATTAACTAAATCAATGAGCGCTGGGGGCATGGCTCAAGTGGTAGAGCACCTGCCCAACAAGGGTGAGAGTCTGAGTTCAAATTCCAGTACCACCAGAAAAAGAAATGATAAGTAAGGTAAAAGGAAAACATTAGGTGAGGAAGAGAGATGGGCAAGAGATAACAAAGAAAAAACATTCTCATTACAAACAAAAGAAAATGTCTTGGGATTTCCAGGTATATAATTATGCAATCTGAAAGTGATCCTGTTAGTTTTTGCTTTTCTATTTTTGTATTTCTAATTCCTTTTTCTCATCAAGTTATTCCAGAAATTTTCTCAAATAAAATAGTTATACTGGTCATTTTTAAAAATTTGTTGTCTTTAGTAGACATGTTTCTATAATAATTCCACATAATTTTGGTAGAAGTATGTCTCTGCTTTAATTTATTTTGACAAAAGTGATTGCGAATTTTTTTCAAAAACCGTTTAGTATCTATCTATCAAGAGGGTGGTATGTTTCTCTTTTTAGATTTAACAATATCATGTATATATTAGTCTTCTCAGACTGCCATAACAAAACACAACTGGCTGGGGGGCTTAAACAACAGAAATTTATTCCTCACACTTCTGTAATCTCAAAATCCCAAATCACGGTCTGACCAGGTTCAGTACTGGTGGTGAGGCTCTTCCTTCCCTGCTGATAGTTGTCTTCTCACTGTGCACTCACATGGCCTAGTGTAAGCTCAGGGAGACTAGGACTTACCAACAGTAAGAACAATGAGTTGATAATCAGGAAGGGTATGGTTTATGAGAGTTAGCCAAGCTCCAGAAGTCAGAAGGGAGATTCAAATCAAATATCAAAGTAAAATAGTTCACATCAGTAAAGTGCCTCGATCATTTATTCTAAGGAAATCACATGCCAAGCTCAATGAGCACTTGTATGCTGTGCATGGTTGATTTGTAGCTTGCTAGAAAAAGAGCATAAGATTTTTGTGGCACATTTTGGGAGAAAGATTTGGATGTACTTTCCTTGATTATGAATGAATATTACCTGATAGGTAGAAAAGACTTAATGATGTCATTTAAATGCATAAGAGAAGTTTTTTTAAATGGGCAAAAGGGTTATTTTCCTAATTCTATAAAATTAAACTGCAAGTTGGCCCCAATTGGAATTAGTAATCAAAAGATCTTTTTTTTAATTTTTAAAATATTGAATAAAAATCACACTTGTCCAGAACCTCATGGGGTAATTACTGTTTAGAAAAAGGTAAATTCCAGTAAGATGTTTGACCTATCTTTCAGATATCTCCTAATTGGCCCAACAACAAGTAAGTGTGAGGTACAAGGTAAAGGAGTTGGCTGGAGTGATCCTCTCCCAGAATGTGTAAGTAAGTAAAGATTTATTTCTGATATGATTATCCACCTAAGCCATATTAGATAATATCACTTGTGTCATCAGAAACTTTAAATTCACAGTTCTGGCCTCCCTGATCATTCCTTTTTCTTTGCTCACTCACCTCAGTAATCAAGTGTGAGTCCCCTCCGGTCATCAGCAACGGGAAACACCGTGGCGGAGATGAAGACCTATACACGTATGGCTCTTCAGTCACCTACAGCTGTGATCCTCCCTTCACGCTCGTAGGCAACGCCACCATTTCCTGCATGGTGGTGAATAAAACAATAGGTGTCTGGAGTTCGAGCCCTCCTGCCTGCAAAAGTAAGTCACAGTGACGAGTTCTGCTTTGAATTTTTCTCTTTTGTTTAAAAGAAAAAGGAGGGATGGTCAAGATGGTGGATTGCTGATAACCTATACCTCACCAAGCCCCCACAAATCTGAAAGATAACCTTAGATTTGTGACAGCAAGCGTAGTTGGTCTGGTTAATTTGCTAAATAAGAGTTTTGACCAACCTTCAAACAGGCCTTTTAAAGCACAAATCCTCCCCAGGCACATGGGCACCTCCAGAAACCTGCTCCATACCACCATGGTCAAGTCAGTTTTATTCCAGAGATACAGGGATGGCTCAACATACTCAAATCAATAAATGTAATACAGCATATAAACAGAAACAAGGACAAAAATCACACGATCATTTCAATAGATGCAGAAAAAGCCTCAGAAAAAATTCAACAGCCTTTCTTTTCCTTATTTGTTTTATTGTTGTGCTGGGGGTACATTGTGGTATTTATAAAAGTTCTCACAGTATCAAATATACCATAGTTGAATTCACCCTCTCCACCATTCTCCTTTATACCCCACTTTCCCCATTGCTGGAATAGTTTCAGCAGGTCTCTTTTTTCATTTACACACATGTGTACACATTATTTGCACCATATTCCCCTCCTACACCCTTTCCTCACATCCTTCCCCCCACCATTAGTACCCCCCCAGACACAGGACTTGTTCTGCCCTCCCAGTCTCGATTTTGTTTTAAAAAAAAAGACATTTTTTTCAACATCCTAGCTCTGGTAAAGCTAGGAATAGAAGGAATGTACCTGCACACAATAAAGACTACATATGACAAACCTATAGCCAACATCATACTAAATTGGGAAGAACTGAAACCATCTCTTCTAAAGTCAGGAATGAGACCAGGATATCTATCTCCCCACTCTTACTTAGCATAGCTTGGGAATTCTAAGCCATGGCAATAAGACAGGAGGAAGAAATAAAAGGAATTCAAATAGAGAAGGAAGAAGTCAAATTATCCTTATTTGTAGATAGTATGATCTTATATCTAAAAGACTGTAAAAATTCCACCAAAAAACCCTTCTAGACATCATAAACACCTTTAGCAAAGTAGCAGCATACAAAATTAATTTACAGAAATTGGTAGCTTTTCTATATACCAACAATGAGCAGACTGAGAAAGAATTCAAGAAAACAATCACATTTACAGTAGCATCAAGAAAATTACCTAGGAAGCAAATTACCTAGAAAGACCTCTACAATGAAAACTATAAATCACTGAAGAAAGAAATTGAAGAAGACATCAGAAGATGGAAAGACCTCCAATGCTCATGGATCAGCAGAATTAATATAATGAAAATGGTTATACTACTAAAACCAGTCTATATGTTCAATGCAATCCCCATCAAAATTTCAATGATGTTCCTCAGAGGTTGAATAATCAACCTTAAATCCATATGGAAGCAGTACAGACCTCAAATAGCCAAGGCAATACTGGCAAAAAGAGCAATGCTAGAGATATCATAATAGCTGACTTCAAACTATACTACAGATACACAGCAATAGAAACAGAATGGTACTGGCACAAAAACAGACACAAAATCCAATGAAACAGAATAGAAGACCCAGACACAAATCCACATAACTATAGCCATGTGATTTTTCACAAAGGAGCTCAAAAAATATGATGGAGAAAGGGCAGCCTTTTCAACAAATGATGCTGGGAAAACTATGTATCTACATGTGGAAGACTGAAACTAGATCCCTGTCTTTCACTCTGTACTAATATCAATTCAAAGTGCATCAAAGACCTTACTGTGAAGCCTGAAACTTTGAAACTACTACAGGAAAGGATGGGAAAAACACTGGAACATGCAGGCATAGGTAATAACCTCTTAAATAGAACTCCAACAGCTCAGCAATTAAGAGAGAGGATTGGCAAATAGGACTACATGAAACTAAAATGCTTCTGCACAGCAAAAGAAATGGTCCCCAGACTGAAGAGGCAGCCCACAGAATGGAAGAAAATCTTTGCTGGCTGTATATCTGACAAGAGATTAATAACCAGAATTTATAGGGAGCTCAAAAATCTTAACTCCCACAGAATCAATGACCCAACAAGGAAATGGGTAAGTGAACTGAATGAAACTTATAGGAAGAAGTCCAAATGGCCAAAAAACACATGAAGAAATGCTCACCATCCCCGGCCATAAAGGAAATGCAAATCAAACCACATTAAGATTCCACATTACTCCTGTTAGAATGTTGCCATCAAGAACACAAACAACAACAGATGTTGGTGAGGATGCAGGGAAAAAGGAACCCTCATACACTGCTGGTGGGAATGCAAATTAGTACAACCACTATGGAAAGCAGTATGGAGGTTCCTCAAAAAACTAAAAAATAGAATTACCATATGATCCAGGAATGCTACTTCTGGGTATATTTCTGAAGGAATGTAAGTCAGGGTACAATAAAGACATTTGTACACCCATGTTTATTGCATCATTATTCACAATAGCCAAACTACAGAGACAGCCCAGATATCTTACCACTGAATCAATCCATTAACCATTACTCCATTGATGGATATTTGTACTATATATAATGGAATAATATTCAGCCATAAACAAGAATGAAATTTTGTTGTTCACAGATAAATGGATGGAACTGGAGAACATCATGTTAAGTGAAGTAAGCCAGGTTCAGAAAGACTAAAGTTCATGGGTTTTCTCTCATATGTGGATGATACAAACATTATCGTGTGTATGTGTGTGTGTGTATGGAACATGTTTCCGATAGTGGGACTGTTGGAGGAGACTAAAGAGAGGGAAAGAAGAAGAGAATGAAAGTGAATAATACTGAGATATATTGCATCTGTGTAGGAACAAGAAATAATAAAACACACTAAAAAGTGTTGAACAATACAGGTAGGGGGAGAAGGGAAAGAAGAGTACTAAAGGGGTCTAGACTGATTAAAGTAAAATATATTTACAGGTAAAATACCAAGGCAAAACCCCACTGAACAATGAACAGACAAACAATAAAGGGCAGAAATGTAAAATGGGTCATGTTAAGGGTAGGACTTACATGTATGAATACACAGCACTGAATCTTGTTGATGTCATTTTAAGAAGGGGAGAGAGACAAGGAAGAAAATGGAAGGGATAAACCAAACTGGGTACTTTGTACTCATATAGAGAAATGTCACAATAAAATTCTCTGAACTACTATTATAAGCTAATAGCAATGTTTTTAAAAGAAAAGAAAAGGAAATGGAAGGTGTCTTTATTGGGGAAATGGAATGACTGAAGACAAACTAATTATATTTATTGTAACCGTGAAGTAATTTTTTTGTTCAATTAACTATATTACATACTATTTTAATCAGAATTTATTAAGTTATAGTGTGATAGAGTCCACTGAAAAATCTCCTGTGTTTTTTTTTATTCATTTATTCACATGTGCCTACATTGTTTGGGTCATTTCTCCCCCCCTGCCCTCACCCTCACACCCCTCTCCTGTGTTTTTTATAGGAAGTTTTTTCAATCTCCTTCCAGTGCACTGCTAGTTCAGGAAAGTCCCCAGAGCACATGGTCAGTAGGATTGTTTAGATTGTCAAATACCTCTCTGTTATAACCTCCACTATTTGTTCAGAGCAAGGAGTGTCAATTCCTGGCTTTTAGAGCCTTTGATCTGAGATGGCATATGTCATTGCAGCCTTTTGGTCAGAACTAGTCTCATGTTTGTACCTAATGTAAGAGGAAGAAATGTGACTGGACACTAACACTGCCTATGAAGCAAACAGAACCATACCAACCTCAGGAGGATAAGAGCCAAGGACAACCAAAGAAAGTATCTTCGTCAGAAGGTAGAAGAGATGCTATGTTGGTGACTCAACATGTTCTCGAGATGTTCTAAGGCATCTTCATTTCCACAGTTACAGTGCCTTAAAAACACAATGTCATTTACCGTTTTAACTCAGTACAGGGCACAACCAACACTGGAGTGAGAGAGCATGATAGTGAACAGAGCTCAAGATGCCTAGAGTCAGGACCATAGGTGTGGATAAGACATGATCTGACGCTGGAAAGGTGACATAGGCCAGTTAGTGAAGGGCCTGAAAATGTCACACTTAGGAACCATAATGAAAGTGAAGGGGAGGCATTGAAGGACAGCAATTGGAAGTAGGACAAAATATAACTTATAGGTACCTGCTGTTACCATCCAGCCAAGAAGTGAAGGGGATGCATTAAAGGGACAAAAACTAGGCAGCTGTGGCCAACATTCAGCCAAGATGTGAATGAAGCCTCAACTGTAGCTGTGGCAGTGGGCTGGAGAGTAGTGAAGAGGAACTCAGGTGGCAAGACCTACGGACTGGGTGACTGGTTAGGCAGGGAATGAGAATTGAGGCTGTGTTTGTTCTCTGTTGGGTGAACAACCTTTGCTGCTCTAGCTACCTCTTTATGACCACCTTGTCATTACTCTGGGCCATTGGCACACAGCCATAGGGGACTTTGAGTTTCAGACTTCATGGTTTGGGTGTTGACTAGTTTTTGCTGATGAGAAAGGTGGTCTATCCACAGTGACCAACTACTCCTAAGTTTCTTGGGGTTCCTAGGTACAGAAAAAATTATCAAGCTTCTAGATGCTTTTCTTTGTATCTAGTTGGCATACACCTGTATCATACCTTCCTTGGAGCCATACCAAATTTTGCAGTCACATCTTTATTGCCATTTCTCTTTTTATAACCCAGATGTCTTGTCCTTGTTTCTTTAGAAACTGTCTGTCTTCAGCCACAGATTCCAAAGGGAATCATTGTCTCTGGATTTAGACCCTTCTACACTTACAAAGACTCCATTGAGATTAGCTGCAAGAAAGGTTATATCCTCAGAGGCAGCAGTTTAATCCACTGCGAAATGAATAAAGAATGGTTTCCTTCTGTTCCCACCTGCCAACTCAGTGAGTATGGACTGTGAAGGCACTGTAAGATTTATCACCTAACATTATCCAGAATATAAGAGGCATTCTTATAGGCACAAGTCCACTTCAATCCCAATAAAAATATGTAAAGTTTATACTTTCCCCCAGTTGTCTTGTTAGAAGGAAGATTTTCTTCTTAGCAATCTCTTAGCATTACTTATGGGAACTTATAATAGTTGACACACCAGTGATTTTGATGATATTGTAGATTACATATTTATTACAAAGCTTTTTTAGTAGGTGATAGTACAGTTCCTCATTCTAACAAAATCACTAAGTTGTGAATATTTCTTGCAGTAAAATTTCTCTCAGACATTTCCCATCTCTAATTAGCACAGTGGTATTCTATGGGCTAACATTTGCATTGAGAACTTGACATTGTAAATATATAGAGGTCACTCAAAACATTAATAACATCTACTGCTAATGTTTATTAAGCACTCTCTGTCTGCCAAACACTGTTCTAAGTGTTTTGTGTTAACTCATTTAATATTCACTTCAGTCCTAAGGAGATAGCTATCATTTTCATCTCATTGCAGATTTGAGAAAACTGTGATGTTGAGTAATTAGGGTAAGTTCTAATGATCAGTGGTAGATTGCCACCACTATGTTGTGACTTATCTATTCCCTGATGCCATGACAAGAACTTAGTGTCATATACAGTGATGCAATTCGATTAATATATAACTTGAGTGATTTCTATCCCCTTTTCCTTCCACATTAGCTGTTAGCATATGGCTGAGTAGAAACAAATACAAGACTAAGACTCACCTGCAAAAGTTATATGGGACTTGATATGGACTTGAAATTCTGGTGACAGTGTCATAACATTTGAACTTGAAATTCTGGTGACAGTTTCATAAAATCAAGAGAAATAGCTCTTATTGTAATTCTCCATTAGACAAGATAATTAGTTTTGTCTTGGAGCAAAATGTTTGCTGTCCATTCCCAGAGTTCCTAATTCCTTCCTTGAAGATGGACCATTCGCAAGTGCAGTGAGGTGAAGGAACTAAGCTCACATACAGTTGGACCAACACCTACACCTGTCTCTTTCCTGCACTGTGCCACAGCCATGTGCGTTTAGTCCTTGCCATCAGTCTGTTGGGCAGGATGCTGACAAGTCTCTTCCTGGCATTCCCCATTAGCTTTTCCCTCCATTGAATGAAGCTACGATATCCTTTGTGTGTGTGTGTGAGTCTCATGGGCCACTCTGTCAATCCCAGTAACAATTTTCATTCACCTTCTTCACGAGCAGACGGTTGTAGTGAATTGCCTGAGATTCCCTATGCTTACTGGGAGAAAAGCATCTTTCTGCAGAGAAATCTGGAAACCTTTGAAGTTGGGACAGAGTTGAAATATCATTGCAAGCCTGGCTATAGAGCGATTTCAACTGAGCCTCAGTCGGTCACCTGTCAGGAAAATTTTACATGGAGACATTCGAAGGGGTGTGAGAGTAAGTAAAAATCAACTTACTTCTCTTCTATTGAACATGTTGATTTCTGAGGACCTGCTCCATTGCACAGAATGTCATTGCTTTTATACTCAATTTGCACTTGAAAATGTCATATTTCACAGCTGCAGTTTCAATGTCATATGTATGTCAATTCTAGTTTTTGATGGTGATGTTACAATCTGTACATTGCTGTCTGCCTTGTTTTATCTGCTATTGAAGAAGATTTATTCAACTGGAGACTTTTTTTTTAAATTCTTTGCATCTTCCAGGCAATGAAACACCTTAGAAATCTTTAGCTTGATTTATTTCTATCTAATTTTTATGGTTTTGTTTTGTGTATTTCAAATTTATGTAAGTCTTCATATTCATATTGCTATAATGTCATATTTACTATTATCATTGTTACTACTTTTGTCTGAATAAGTCAAATTAATATAGATGGTCTGTAACTTTCTTTGTTATTGTTGTCGTGTCTTTGTCTGGTTTAGATACCAGGGTGATTCTGGCCTTACAGGATGAATTTGGAAGAATTTCTCCCACTTCAGCTTCTTGTATAATTTGAGAAAAAATGATATCAGTTCTTCTTAGGTGTTTCTACAACATCCAGCAGTGAAGTCCTTTGGTCCTGGGCTTTCCACTGATGGAAGACTTTTAAATTACAGATTTAGTCTTGTTGCTCTTTATTGATCTGCTCTGGTTTCCATTTCTTCATGATTCAATTTTTGTAAAGTTTTATGTCCAGAAATGTATCTATTTCTTGTGTTTATCAGCTGTTCATAATAATATCTAATGATTTCTGTGATGTATGCTGTAATATCTTCTTGTTTTGTCTCTGATTTTATATAGTTGAGTATTTTTTTTCAGTCCAGCTAATTTTGTTTACATTTTTGAGAAACAAACTCCTCTTTCAGCGAACCATATTTTTTTTAGCTTTTAATTGGTCTTTATTATTTATGTCCTTCTAATTTTAGATTTAATTTGTTCTTGGATTTCTCATTTCTTGAGATGCAAAGATACACTGTTAATTTGAGATTTTTCTACTTTTTTTTTTTTGGTGGTAATGGGGTTTGAATTAGAGATTTTTCTACCTTTTTGATGGAGAAGTTTAAGAATATAAACTTCCCTTTTAGAACTGCTTTTACTGTATTCCATAGGTTTTAGTATGTTGTATTTCCGTTATTATTCGTCTGGACAATTTTTATAATTGCCTTCTTTTAAAAATCTTTTAATTGAAAAAAGCTTACATTTAAAATTTTTTCTTTCTTGCTGAGTGTCGGTGGCTCACGCCTGTAATCCTAGCTACTCAGGAGACAGAGATCAGGAGGACTGTGGTCAAAGCCATCCTGAGCAAATAGTTCACAAAATCTTGTCTCAAAAAAACCCATCATAAGAAAAGGGCTGGTGGAATGGATCAAGGTGTAGGTCCTGAGTTCAAAATCCCAGTACCACAAAAAACAAAAAAATTTTTCCTTCTTAATTTACTCATCTATTCATTGGTTGTTCAGAATGTTGTTTAATTTCCATGCATTTTTCTAATTTGTGTAGTTTTTCTTATTAATGATTTCTAGTTTTATTGCATTCAGGTTGGAAAAGATACTCAGTATGATTTCTGTTTTTCAAAGCTTTATTGACACGTTTTGTGGCCTATCAAATGGTATGTTTTAGATAGTGTTCCATGTCTGAGAATGTCTGCAAGTTCCATTTAGTCTAGGGTACATTTTATCTCTGGTGTTTCTTTGTTGATTTCCCGTGGGAGCTCTCTGTACATTGTTGAAAGTGGGGTGGTAATGTCCCCTGCCTGCTATTACTGTATTGGATCTATCGCTCCCTTTAGGTTGGCATTTCCTTTATATATTTGGGTTCTTCAATTTTGGGTTCACATATATTTACACTTGTTATTTCCTGTTGATGACTGGCTCCTTTATCATTATATAGTGACCTTCCTCGTCTCTTCTAATTGCTTTTTATTGAAAGTCTATGTTATCTGCTGTAAGTAGCACTGTTCCTACTTGATTTTGGATCTATTTGACTGGAATGTCTTTTTCCAACCCTTCACTTAGTCTATCTGTGTCCTTAGAGGTGAGATTAGTTTCTTGTAAAAAGCATATATTTGGGTCTTTTTTTTTTAAATCTATTCAGCTACTTTGTTTCTTTTTATTGAAGAATTTAATGTATTTACAATTAAGGTAATTATTGATAAATAAGGTCTTACTGTCATCTTGTTACTGTTTTGTAGGTTTTTTTAATTCCTTCTTTATCTCTCTTTTACAGTCTTCTTTGTGGTTTTGTGATTTTCTCTACTATTGTGTGTGTGTTGCTGACTCCTTGCTTATCATTTTTGATGTGTCTATTACTTATTTTTGCTTTGTGGTTACCACAAGGCTTACAAAACATATCTTTTGATTATATCAAGTTATGTTGAACTGAGAGCAACTTAACATTGATTATAGTGATAAAGATCTGGGTCTGAGCCAGCTGGGTGGCTATTGTGAATGGAAATGTTTTCTTTCTTCATTGTTGATGAACAGAAATGTGACTGAGTTTTGCATATGGATTTTATATCCTGCTAGTTTGCTGAAGCAAATTCTATCCTCCACTTCTATGAGTTAGGTTAGCATTTTTTATAAGATAGAGTGAGGGTTTCAGCCAAAGGTGTGTTTCCCTGGTGATTTAATTAAACATGCAATATTACTTTTTATCTATCAGAGGTGTGCTGCCCAACACCAAATCTGGAGAAAATCAGAATCATAAGTGAAAGGAGAGATTTCACTGGTATATGTGCCTATGCTTATGAAGACTATGTTTTCTACATGTGTGATGAAGGCTATTACCCTCTTTCTATTGATGGAAGGAGTTCATGCCATGCAGATGGCAAGTGGGTCCCTAAAATACCCTCATGTGTATCAGGTAAGGATATTGAGGGACATGGTTATCATTATTTCTCAGATTCCTTCCAATGATCCCACAGAGTTCCACAAAAGAGTGAACTTCTTAAAACCTGGAAAGTTTGGGATTATTCTTCTCTCTTCTTCTATAGAGTTTACTCTCTGCATTTGTCTCTTAGTACATTATCATAAACTGGTTTATATTATGATTCAACCATTCAAATGATCAGAGCTTTTTTCTTCAAAGCCTAGTTTAATGTGCAATATGAAGATATAATTTTTCTTAATAATAATTAAGTTAAAATTCTCATCTAATGGAATATTTGAAAGGAATTTTACAAAAGGCCATGTGGGAACTCTAGACTTACGTACAAGTGACAATGTCACCTTTACTATCAATATTCAGAGCCAGAAACTGGTTGTTAAGGACACAGAATGTTACAAGACATGATCCCTAATATCAAAGTGGAGAAAAGCTAGGAGTGGTGGCACAGCAATTACCCAGTCTGTGGTATTCTTTATAACTATGGAAAATGAAGTAATACCCTTCTTATCGTGGAGCTAGGAATGAAAGCGTTGAAGGATATATTTTTTTTGCATTTGCTACAACTTTTGCAAGTCAGTTTGCTGGCTACCTTTGCCTTCTCATTGTAAATATAACTTTAGCTCCAGTCACAGTTCATTGAAGATAGTGATACAAGGTATTGAGAGCAATATTTTCTGGTGATCAAAATCTGATTAATTTTGCCTTTTATATATTTCTTTGGAATAGTTACACCATGAATGTTAAACCTTAAAAAGCCATTAACAAAAACATTAAAAAATGAATTTTACTTCCCAATACAGAACCATAAAAGTACAGGTGGCCCTATTTCCAGGGCCAACTGATACCTTAGCTTATTTTTATGCCATTCCAGAATATCTAGAGACACCATCTTTCACCTGAGAACCTCTTCGTGCCTCTAGTACACTTTTCAGTAGAGCCTTGAGTTCATTTTACTATTCAAGAAAGAAGAATCTCAAGGGTTGATTTCTAAGTCATGAATTTTGGAAATCTTCACTAAAACCTCATAATGACCACCATTTTCCCATGACTTTCCCATTTCCATTTTTGATGATCTGATGAAGTTCCTTTTTGGTCTTCAAATATAGAAACAAGATGAGTCAAGAAAGAGTCTGTCTCTTTGTTGTGCCTGGCACCTTCCTCATTTAAAAAAAAATACATATATATATATATAAAACCTTTAGTTTTTTTATATAGTACTAGGGTTTTGAACTCAGGGCCTTGCACTTGCGAGGCAAGTGTCTACCACTCAGTCTATGTCCCCAAGTCCCTTAATCATTTTGCTAACAAACACTACTGTCTCCATTGGACCCATGAAGATTACGAGGCAAGAACAATGAAAAATACAGAGCTAGGATTATACACAGATCAAAGATCTGGAGTAGCAATTGAGATACAGGTTCTACTACTTAAAAGCTCTGTAACAATGAAAAATTATTTAAAACTTTCAGTTTTGTTGTTGGCAAAATGTTGGTATTAGGGCTGTGGTCATGTCTTAAGTAGTAAAGTACTTGAAGTCAAGCATAAGGCCGTGAGTTCAAACCCCAGTACTGCCAAAAAAAAAGAGAAAGAATTAAGATAAAATGTTGATAATAATAGCATCTAACTTAAAGAATTAGAATGAGAATTAAATGAGGTAAGACAACTAAGTATTTCTCAATTAGACCTCCATGTAGTACTTTCTCAATGAATGTTATTGAACTATTAAAATTATGACTAAAGTGAAATAGAGTTTTAGAGCAACTTGTAGGACCTGAAAATAAATATGAGCAAAGTTTCACATAATTTTCATCATCCAACGTTATTTTGGTACCCTTTTCTGAAAAAACACAAAATGTTCAAAATATGTTTCCATTATAGCTGTGTGTGGAAAACCAGAGATAAAAAATGGAAAGCTGTCTGTGGAGAAGAATCAGTATTTTGAAATGGAAAATGTCACCATCCATTGCAACCCTGGCTATGTTACAGTTGGTCCTCAAACTATCACTTGCACAGAGAACAAAAACTGGCACCCAGAGGTACCCAGGTGTGAGAGGGTAAGTAGCACAATTCAGGGAATTTCTGGACTGTCAACCCTCAAAATGGTGGTCTCCTCCAAAGGTCTGTCCTAGTCAGGAAGGGTGATACCTGAATCTTGTCAGGATGCCTAAATAATTTACCAATCTTAGAAATTTCCACTCTGGAGCACTGTGGTAAGCATGGTGAGGTAATTTTTTCTGCTGTATGGATACAGCCCAAATTTAGATTTTAAAGTTTCCTAGACCCAGATGAGTTGACCCCAGTGCTACATTTTCTATAGTGAATGCTCTGCATTTGTTCCATTTTGGGTTGGTCACCTGAGATCTTTCACCTGTCTTTAATGAGATGCTTGGTCCCCTGTGAAACCCTGCATCTTTTCTGCCTCAGCCATGCCCCGCTGTTCCTGAAGGAACAGATCTGGGCTTGGCCTGCATGTGAACACCTGCTAGCAGGCAAAGTCTCTCCTGATCTCCTTTCATCTCTCAGGTCTTAGGACAGCTCACTTTTGCCAGTAATCCCTCTCAGAAGGCACCCTCACCAATGTATATCTTTAAATCACTTTTAGGAGATTCTTGAAGGATGTGAACAAGTGATTGCAGGCCAAAAACTCATGCAGTGTCTTTCAAGCCCAAAGGATGTGAAAAGGGCCCTGGAGTTGTATAAAATGTCTCTGGAGATCGAACAGTTAGAAAAAGAGAAAGAGAAAGATAAACAGGTAAAAATCCGCCAGAAATTCCCTAAGCATGATGAAAAGGATTCATTTTTGCCTTTAAATTAATATGCAGAATCTCCATTCAGGAACTCTACTCATCTTTAAGTACCATCACTCCTGTTAAGAAGTTTCTGGACTAGGAGAACCCCATACAGCTAGTATGATTATCTAGCTACTGTGACTCAAAGGTCTACTTTTCTTGACTCCCTGTGTTCATTAAATAAATAATTATCTATCAAAGATCAGTTTGTCTGTGTTGTCATCCTGGCCAGTATGTTACATTCATATGACACAAATTCGGTACACAAATCCACTGTCTAAAATATCTGTCGTTAACTTTACTGCCCTTCTTGCTATCCCAAAAAGAATGGGAGCCAAAAAATTCAAACTGTATTTTTTTCCTTTATCTTTACCTGAAAGCCTTTACTCCACCCCTCCCATGGCCAGAATATACCTGCCCTGTACTTACATGAATGGAGCTAAACTTCAAAGTGGACTTTCAAAGTTAAACACTCTTCTGTAACCTAAAATCCAGGGTGAGAAGCAAGAAATCCTGTCCAAGGGGGGGGCCAGTGGAGGGGGGCGAATATGATAGATATACTATGTATTCATGTATGAAAAATAGAAACAATGAAAGCTGTTTGAAACCTGTTCTTAAGAAAGGGGGGTGAAGGAGAATGATGGAAGGGGGAATTTAATTAAGATTGTATTGTAAGCACAAATGTCAATGATCACCCAAATTGTATCCCCCTGCCGTACCCTATGATATCTAACAATTTTAAAAAAAAAAATTAAGAATTGCTGGGTCATTTGGTGCCACCTTCTGGTCACTAACTTCATATTTGCAGACTTTTAACGGGCATTATTGCATGATGCATGTTTTTCTACTTTATAGGAAT